TAGGATCCAGGCCAAGAAGAATAACTCACCCAAGAAAATGTCATCTGAAAACCCACAACCAGACGACAACACCCTTATCTTTTCAGCTAATTCGGGCACCCCGCTCACTGAGAGGTTTTGTGAAATGTATATGAAGAAACTAACTCAAATTTAATTTTGACACATTTTAATATTTGGCATATCTTTTGAAGAATAAAGTTAAGAGATTAAATTACAATTAAACATTCTGACAAATTCAATCAGTTAACGATTTCAACTTAAAACAACACAGTACTGTATAAATTTAAGAAAATACATAGCACCTCATGACTCCTTATTTCCAGCAACTACAGTCTGCCATTGTTCCCCCTAGTCAACAGGCAGTATGAACATTTCATAAGCTTGGGATAGTCTAAGACTCAGAATCCCCTCATAATAGTCCACACTGGTATAGTATTTTCAGAGTCTACAAAGCCCTTTCAGAAATATCTTTTCAGTAAATCCACTAAACCCCATGAAGTATTATCCATTTTACAATGAAACCTAGAATGTTGGTGATTTTCATCCACCTAGTACTTGCTTAGTATGTACTATGTTAGGCAACCTGCTGACTGAGGGCGGCCCCTGCTCTTGAGTTTTCAGTTCAGTGGGAGACACAGAAATTGAAGAGGAAGCACAGGGTGGTTTGAGCTTTGAGAGATGCACACACACAGCTTCGTGAGAAACAAGGAGGCCCCCTCCCCGGGATGTGTGTGGGGAAGCTTTGCCAATCAAGGAACTGGGGCCTGGGGCAGGAGGTATGCGGGAAGAGGGGCTGGCCGAAGGGTTGGTAGCATGTACGAAGGAAAAAAAGTGTGGCATCTGAGGAAAGACATTAATTCACTGGTTTCTGAACTACTTGAGTAGCTCCAAGTGCTGGGCTTGTGTGGAGAGGTGAGGGCCCCATCAGGCAGCAAAGTCCTTCCCCTCAAGCAGCTTAATTCTAAAGGCAGAAGTGACAATAAAAATGCAAATCAAGTGACAAAAGGATTGCAGAGTGCTGAGTACTATGAAGGAAATAACTCTGGGCAGGGAGCAAGAGAAACTGGGAGAAGTGGGTTTTGGAGATGGCAGTCAGGGAGGATTTGGAGAAAGCACCTATCATAGGTGCGAGAACAGGACTCCAGGCAAACAGCAAGGGCAACGACCCGCACAGGCTAAGGCTGGCAGCACTCAAGAAACAAAGGAGGCCAGGGAGGCTGGCACACAACAGAAGGACAGTGATGGAGTGGGTGATGGAGGTGGGCACCGAGTATTGCGGTTCTTATGGAAGATGACAAGCAACTCACATTTAAACTTAGTGGAATATGGAATGGAGCCTTTGAAGGATTGGAAGGGAGGTAGCAGGGACAGTTTAATTTACATTTCTAAAGGATAACTTAGGAGGTATGGAGAATGAATTTTTGAGTCAGGAGTAGGAGTAATAGCAATTAGGAGGTTACTGCTGGTGGCAGGCATGAGGAGAGAAATGGTTGGGTCTGAGACAGTAGGCAGAATTGACAGGACCTCCCAAAGGCTTGGATATGGAGGTGTGGGTAAGGAAGGAATTAAGGAATAACTCCTAGCAACTGGCACACATGATGCCACCCTGACATGGAATCTAAGCAACAGGGAGATTCAAGATTTCTCTTGGAAATCTCCAGCCCAAGGTTCTTATCAGACATTCAAATGAAGACATTCTAAGACAGGAGCTCTGGGGAGAGGTCAAGGTCAGTTTTGAATGCAGAGGTCAGCTTAAAAGTTGAAAGCAATAGTCTAGGGAAAGAGCATGTTGAGTGAGAAAACTCACACCGAAGTCCTAGTGGGGGCCTTTAGTAGAGGAAAAGTCAGAAGAGTAGAAACAGAACGGGTAGGAGTGTCAGGTCAGACAAACCAAGAGACGGTGAGGGGGAGACCAAGCATGTGAAATGATGCTCAGAACTGACAAAGCCACTGGCGACTTCCAGGCCAGGAGAGCAGTTTCATGTTGGGGAGGGAGGTGCGGTTGGAGAGGATTAAGTTAAGAAAATAATGGGACGCATCTATTATCTTTGACAAAGGAAGCAAGAAAACACAATGGCAAAAAGATAACCTCTTCAATAAGTGGTGCTGCGAAAACTGGATAGCTACATGCAAAAGAATGAAATTAGATGCGCTCATTTAACATGCTAGTAAAGTTGTGTTCAAAATTCTTCAAGCGAGGCTTCAACAGTACATGAATTGAAAACTTCCAGATGTACAAGCTGGATTTAGAAAAGGCAGAGGAACCAGAGATCAAATTGTCAACATCTGTTGGATCATAGAAAAAGCAAGGGAATTCCAGAAAAACATTTACTTCTGCTTTATTGACTATGCCAAAGTTTTTGANGGACCATAAAGAAGGCTGAGCACTGAAGAATTGATGCTTTCGAATTGTTGTGCTGGAGAACTCTTGAGAGTCCCTTGGACAGCAAGGAGATCAAACCAGTCAACCCTAAAGGAAACCAACCCTGAATATTCATTAGAAGCACTGATGCTGAGGCTCCAATACTTTGGCCACCTGATGCGAACAGCCAACTCATTGGAAAAGATGCTGATGATGGGAAAGATTGAGGACAGAAAGAGAAGGGGGAAACAGAGGATAAGATGGTTGGATGGCATCACTGACTCAATGGACACGAATCTGAGCAAATTCTGGGAGATAGTTAAAGACAGGGAAGCCTGGCATGCTGTAGTCTATGGGGTCACAAAAAGCCAGACATGACTTAAACGACTGAACAACAATAACAGAAAACTTCCTAATACCATACACAAAAATAAACTCAAAATGGATTAAAGACCTAAATGTAAGGCCAGAAACTATAAAACTCTTAGAGAAAAACATGGGCAGAACACTCTTTGACATAAATCACAGCAATATCCTTTTTGACCTAGAGTAATAGAAATAAAAACAAAAACAAACAAGTGGGTCCTAATTAAACTTAAAAGCTTTTGCACAGCAAAGGAAACTATAAACAAGATGAAAAAACAACCCTTAGAATGGGAGAAAATAATTGCAAATGAAACAACTGACAAAGGCTCCAAAATCTACAAACAGCTCATGCAACTCAATAACAGAAAAAACAAACAACCCAATAAAAAAATGGGCAGAAGACCCATACAGACATTTCTCCACAGAAGACATACAGATGGCCAACAAATACACGAAAAGATGATCAACATCACTCATTACTAGAGAAACGCAAATCAAAACTACAATGAAGTTATCACCTCACACTGGTCAGAATGAACATCATCAAAAAAGTCTACAAACAATAAATGCTGGAGAGGGTGTGGAGAAAAAGGAACACTCTTGCACTGTTGGTGGGAATGTAAACTGATAACAGCCACTATGGAGAATAGTGTAGAGATTCCTTAAAAAACTAGGAATAAAACTACCATGCATGCATGCATGCAAAGTCACTTCAGTCATGTCCAACTCTTTGCAACCCTATGGACTGTAGCCTGCCAGGCTCCTCTGTCCATGGGGATTCTCCATGCAAGAATACCAGAGTGGGTTGCCATGGTCTCCTCCAGGGGATCTTCCTGACCCAGGGATCAAACCCACATCTCTTGTATCTCCTGCACTGGCAGGCAGGTTCTTTACAACTAGCACCACCTGGGAAGCCCAAACTACGTATGACCCAGCAATTCCACTACTGGGCATATACCCTGAGGAAACCATAACTGAAAAAGATACATGTACCCCAGTGTTCATTGCAGCACTATTTACAATAGCTAGGTAGGATAAGGAACCAACCTAGATGTCCACTGACAGATGAATGGATAAAGAAGCTGTGCTACATATAAACAATGGAATATTACACAGCCATAAAAAGGAACCCATTTGAGTCAGTTGTCCTGAGGTAGATGAATCTATAGCCTGCTATACAGAGTGAAGTGAGTCAGGAAGAGAAAAACAAATATAGTATATTAACACATATATATGGAACTATAAAAATGGTACTGACGAATCCTTTTGCAGGACAGAATACAGACACAGATGGAAGAGAACAGACTTGACACAGTCTGGGGAAAGAGAGGGCAGGGTGAATTGAGAGAGTAGCACTGAAACATATACATTACTATGTATAAAACAGGTAGCTAATGGGAAGTTGCCGTATAACACAGGGAGCTCAACTATGTACTCGGTGAGAACCTAGAGGGGTGGGATGAGATGGGGAATGGGAGAGGTTCAAGAGGGAGGGGACATATGTATACTTATGGCTGATTCACTTTGTTGTATGACAGAAACCAACACAACATTTTGAAGCCATTATCCTCCAATTAAAAATAAATTTAAAAAAAAAAGATGACAGTGGCAACAGTCACTGCAGACTGTTCTCGCCAGAGACATCTGTGTGAAGGGAAGCAAGTGTGTGGAGCAGTAGGGAGGATGTGGAACTGAGGTTTTGTTTTGCTTTAAAGAAAGGAGAAATAACAGGATGTTTGTTTGCTGATGGGAAAGATCCACAGAGAAGGCTGGATCACAGGAGCCCCATCTTGGGTGACAAGAGCCCTCCACCTGGCCTGCTGGTCTCTGGCTGCACATTCCAGCTCATCTGCTGGATCTAACCACATGATGCTCATGTGCTGGTGTCCTTCAGGCCCCAGGTTCTGCTCTTCTCTCTCCTTGCCCTCCTCCTCCAGATCTCCACAGCTTCAAATGCCTCTGCACCTTGACATCTTTGTCTCCCCTTCAAACCTCTCCTCAGAAATGCAGATGCCAAGATTTCTACAGAGTGTCCCCAGGCTCCCACACAAACCCAGCCCCAGGCCCTGCTCCCACCTCTTTCCCACATCTCTTTCGAATAGGAGAGGGCTTCCTGTCAAAGTTCTACAGCCCCTTCACATACTTCTGCCTAGCCTCACACATTACCAGCCCAAATGGCTAATGATGAGCAAAACCAGTACAAAAATCAGCAAAATCTGGATCACTCTGACTCTGAGATCCATGGCTTCTACTACATACACTGCTCCCAAAGGAAGTTCCTACAGTTACTTTATTTCCAACATGTATCATAAAATATTTAATTAGTCTTCAGCTATTACATTTAAGTCAGCAAGAGAAAGTATTACTTTACGATAATAAATATTAATATGAGAAAAAAGTCTAGCAAAGTGGTTTATTTACATGTTATTGCTGGAAAAAGTCCTTTAAACAAGACAGTGCAGAGAAAACACGTTAGAGCTAAGTATCAGCTTCTCAGATTCCTCACAGCAGCTTTAGTACATCTCATTTTTATGGCTTCTATATAGTCGTATGTTCAGGCTTTCAAAGAGCTGCTACTTCAGGATGACAGTAACTCTTCAGTGTTTATTTTTATTTCCAAGTTTGTGATTTTTAAGAGGCTACTTCAGGACTGTGAATTGTTTCACTGTCTTTTCACTTTCTCGCTTTAGTTCTTCAATATGGGCATCAAGGCGCTCTAGAATGTGATGAGACCTCAGTTCTTCCTCTTCCAAAAATCTTGTGGCTATTGAACCAAGAGGAGACAGAGGCAAGGGACACTAGAAGAGAAACAAATTTTGACATATGTAAGTTGAACAGTATATTTCTAAGATACAGTATTCATGATATTTTCTAAGTACCAATATCAAAAGGCGGATGTTTTCCTCTGACAAGATATTGTTTTTATCCTAATGATGATAACAGTGAAAAAAAAAAGTTGCACAAAAATTAACACAGATCTCTTCCTTTCTGACACAGTTATGTAAGTGTGAAGCATCATATAAATATATTCCTTACTCATTTGAAGACTTTCAGAGCCTTCTATACCCTAGAAGAGATATACTTAATGCCTATTTATTTCAAACTGACTTATAAAAATCTGAATGTTACTTTTTAAAGCATAGAAAATCTACCTGTAATTAATTAGATACCAGTTAAAAATCAATATTTTCCTTCCTCCAAAATTTTAGTCTACAGCCCCTTGTCTGAAATCACTGGTTTCAGAATTTAGATGTACCATATTTAGTTGATCCTTATCTGCAGTAGTTATTTTCTATAACGTCATCTCAAACACTGAATTAATGAATATTGAAACACTGCTCTTATGGGAAACATAAACACATACACACAAACTTCACATAGATTATAATCCTAACTCCTAAGAATAACTCACCAGGTAGATTGTTTGCTTTATTTCACAAAAGACAAGGTTCACAGTGTTTAGTGACTCGCCCGAGGCCACCCCCATTAATGGGGCCAAAGCTGGGGTTCGAACCCTGCCCAAGCCCAGCATCTGAGCTTCGTGCACTGTACTGCCCGAGCGGCTCTGTCTTCTGGGAATCTCAGCACAAGAGCTGAAACAAGAGGGTAACGTACCACCTTGACTGACCTTAGCTGGAAACATGCAAGTCCAGTAACTCACATTTTATCCAGCTCTGCCATGTTCATGAATGACTGTGGAAGTTTTTATGAGTTCTGCTTACAGGTAACAAATAGTTCAGCAAGTAGATGAATTCACAAATATAGAATACGTGACCTATGAGGAGTCTGAGGTAGCATCCCATAATCAAACACATTGGTATTTCTGACGTAAAATGTTAAGTGGGATCAATCAACATTTTATCACATCATATCAGTTCAGGCCAGGTCAGGTCTTAGTGCCAAACTTAGAAAGTTAGTCATCAGATCTTTTTTGGATTTCAGAATTACATATATAGTACATATATTTCAACAACTAAAAGAGAACTCCTATGGACTTGTTGGCACATTAAAAAGTCAAAAATACTGAACTTTCACAGATATAGGATCACAGGGTGATGAGAATGAACGGCTAGAGGTGAGCGCTTCAGCACAGAAGGCAAAAACAAGGGTGGAGAGGAGTCCTCACATCTGCTGCAGGAATAAGAGGCCAGCCCTGTTGAAGGGCAGCATCTACCACCAGGGCCCCGTGGGGCGGCACCCAACCTATGGTCCATAACAGACACATCAGATGCCATTAACTCCTCTGCCTCGACCCACTCTTTCCCTTTCCAGCCATTCCTTTTCTCCTTCCCCACTGTCTACGCTCCAGGACTGTCTTGGCAGGTAGAGATATTCTTTGAACCAATCATTTCCAATACAAAGGTGACCCTCTCTGAAAAAAGGCAGGAAGGGAATTTTAAATTTTGGCTAAAAATAAATGAATGCCTATAACTTATATTTAACAAGACACATTTTAAAAAGTACTCGTGACTGAAGTCTTCACAAGCAAAATCTTAGGACAGAAATACATGAGAATAACAAAAGGTACTTAAGTGTGAGAAGAAGTAAGGAGACAAAAAGAAAAAAAAACCCTCTGCCTTAAAATAAAAAAACAAAATCAAACTAAACACACTTAATAAACTAGTAAGATCAAAAAGTTTCCATACCGAAGATGTAAAGTCTTCTGGGTCATTTATGCTCTCAGAGATAGTGTCAGAAAAGTTGGTTTCATTTGTATCTAGCACTGAAGGAAGAGAGTGAGTTTTGCACAGAAAGTTTGACGGCAGAGAGACAGTGGAGCAGCAAGAGCTAATCTGATGGCTCTGGGGGCTGAAGCCCCGGGACAGGGACACAGGCTCTATGCTATCCGATGCTTGTCCTTGCGGAGAATGAAGACCTGCTTTGTAGGGCTCAGCCTTCATCCCATCATGCCTGTGCTGGCCATGGGCTGGCCTGGATAGCAGATTGGAAAATAAAGCAGATAAACACTGTAGTAGCTTTCCTCCTTTAAAACAGACTTATTGTTGGAAGTTCAATAAAAATACAGTACCAGACTAAGGAGAAGGCTATAATTTACAAAATCAGCAGCCTGCTCAGGCCAGGCATTCTTTTCATCACCCTGGCCCCCAATATCCAACCCCCATGACCACGTCCCTGCCCCCACAGACTTACACAACAGCAAGGAAGACAAGTATGCTATCTGGGTGCCCTAGTAAGGTTGGTGGTAGGACAGAGGGAAGCAATGTGCATAGAGAAGTCCCTTATCTTTACCTGGGGGTAAGGTGGGAGTGGCAGAGAGGGTGTCAGCAAAGGTTCCTGATAGGAAAACATGTAAGAGCTGAAGCCGGGTGGTTTTTCATTGAATACTGATGTTTTAGGTAACAGTCTATTGCTGATTCACCAAAAATACAAAAGAAGCTTTTTATAAAAAGCTAACTTCCACTTCTTATGGGCCAAGTGAAGCTAGAGAGGTGGGAAGCAGCATGACAAAACTCAGGGGAATTAGGCTGTTATTCTCACCTACATCTAGAAGTTTGCATGAAAGTGATATATAACCCCCTGCATTTTTTAACCTAACAGCTTTACTTGTACACACTGTACTTCAAAATTAAACATAGGGTCCTTTGATAAAGATTTAATTTCTATAAATTGGAAATTATTCTCAAAGAAATGAGCANGATAAAGATTTAATTTCTATAAATTGGAAATTATTCTCAAAGAAATGAGCATTACATAATAAAGATATATATTTTAAATAAACTATGAAGAAAATTTACTTGAACTCTGTATTCTTGAACTCAGGTACTCTGCTGTGTGTTGGTTTAAAGATCCTGTCCCGGTTTTTTTTGCATATTTGAGTAGAAATCTCCAGCTGACCTTTTGTATCCATCAAATCTTTCTGTAGTTGTTGATTTTCAAATACTAATTTATTTAATGCCTCAATATAATTTTCCTGGAGGTCTGCTAGTGAAATCTCTTTTGCCTAATAAAAAAGAACAGAGGCACTTAATTTGTAAAAGAATACTTGTGATCTGTGATACTGCTGGTTGAAAATTACTTTTAGCTGTGACTAGTTAATCTATGGTTTTACTTAGGAAAAAATATAGATCTGGTTTTGGCACCTTAAAAAAAAAGGGTGTATTTCTTAGTTAATGGGATAGGAGCACAATGGGCTTCCCTAATGTGTGAAGGAATATCCAAGGAGCTGGAGGAAGGCTGGAACTAGGATGGAAGAAAGCTACAAATGAGAATCAAAAACAGACAAAAAGAAAGAAAATAGTAACCATGCATTCTTTAAGAAATAGAAAGTTGAGCTTAGTGAAATAAATCAGATGGAGAAATACAAAGACTATATGTTATCAGTTATATATGGAAAACAAAAAATAAAACAAATGGATATGACAAAACAGAAACAGACTCACAGACACAGAGAAGGGTTACCAATGGGGAGAGGGAAGGGGGGTGCGGCTAGACAGGGGTAGCGGATTAAGAGGCACAAACTATTACATATAAAATAAATAAGTTACAAGGATATATTATACAGCAGACAATATAGCCATTATTTTATAATAACTTTAAATAGCATAATCTATAAAAATATTGAACTATGTTGTACACTTTGATATAATATTGTAACTATGCAATTATACAACTATAACTATAATTATATAACTATAGTTTAACTTAAAAAAAAAAAAGATGGAGACAGAAGGTTGAATAGCCCCACAATACCTGTGGAAGAAAATCAAGAGATCTATTTCAAAGAAAGAAATCTGAACATAAGGTTCTGAAAAGGAATTCTGGCTGGCATGGACAACTTTTAAATAAATAACTCTCTGGTCTTAAAGACTTTTACATAATGTTGTACCTATTCTGGTATGTGAGACTGATTTCGACATGATAAGTCAGTATTCAACAAGGATAAGGTAGGAATTACTACTCTGATATGGTCTGAATTCTGTGATTATAAATTCTATTGCTCTTCAATTCTAGGTACTTCCTAGTAATATAGCACCTAAAAAAACAAAAGTCTGGACCATTTTTTTCTAATGACAAAATATTTTCATTAGCATTCTGAAAAATTATGGTTGTCTTCTTTGGAATTTAACACGAAGTTTAGCTTGCTCTTTTCTATAAAGAAGTTTTTGAAAATAAGCTGGTCAAGTAGTTTGACAAACACAATTTACCTAACAAAAAAATAAAGCTTAAAATACAACCATTTAACTATGTGTACTAGTAGTCAGAATAAGTTATAAAATCTTTCAGCAAATTGTTGACAGATAAAATCTCAAAAAAAAAAAATCTGCAGGACATAGGAGTTAAACTATGAACTACTAGTGACTTTTATTTTCACTGTGGTAAATAATTTATCAGAGCTATTGCTTTCATTACAAAGCTAATTAGATACTTTTATTAAAAGTTATTTAGCCAAAATTATTCATTTGTAAAAGTAATATCAACTTCCTAGGATGATAAATGCAAAATGGAACTTTTTAATAACTGTTCTTAATACATACATCATGTTTACACTGTAACTTCAAAATCAGAGGAAGTCTAAACTGCTGACACGATTCTCAACAGCCAGAGTTTCATATCTGATGTCATTAAAGATATCTTCGGGCCTGGTGCACTGGGAAGACCCAGTGGGATCGGGTGGAGAGGGAGGTGGGAGGGGGGAATGGGATGGGGAATACATGTAAATTCATGGCTAATTCATTTCAATGTATGACAAAAACCACTGCAATGATGTAAAGTAATTAGCCTCCAACTAATAAAAATAAATGGATTAAAATAAAAATAAATAAAAAAGAAAAATAAATAAATAAAATATCCTAAAACTAAAAAAAAAAAAAAAAGATATCTTTTAGAAGAAGATAATGTTTGCTTTTTCCAAGGCAGGCATCATTTAAGTTTTTCTCAAATTTACTATTTTATTAACAACAATTACAAACAAATGAATGTGAAAGGTAATATAAAAAGTGCATAGCAAGCACACACCTGGCTGTGTGAAGAAACGACATCATTACCACTGTTAGAGGGTTCAGGAGAAATTAAGCTGAACAGAATCTCTGGCCATAGTCTAAGTTAAGCACCTCTGAGAGTTCCCAACTCTTAAATATGAACAGGTAATCACACTACATAAGATAAAAGTCTCAATCAGCTATTTCCAAATCCTGAGCATTGACAGACTTTATGTTCTTGGGCTCCAAAATCACTGCAGATGGTGGCTGCAGCCATGAAATTAAAAGACGCTTGCTCTTTGGAAGAAAAGCTATAACTAACCAAGACAGCATATCAAAAAGCAGAGACATTACTTTGCCAACAAAGGTTCATCTAGCCAAAGCTATGGTTTTTCCAGAAGTCATGCACAGATGTCAGAGTTGGACCATAAAAAAACCTGAGCACCAAAGAAATGATGCTTTTGAACTGTGGTGTTGGAGACTCTTGAGAGTCCTCTGGACTGCAACGAGATCCAACCAGTCAATTGTAAAAGAAATCAGTCCTGAATATTCACTGGAAGGACTGTTGCTGAAGCTGAAGCTCCAATACTTTGACCACCTGATATGAAGAACTGACTCACTGGAAAAGACCCTGGGAAAGATGCTGGGAAAGACTGAAGGCAGGAGAAGGGGATGACAGAGGATGAGAAGGTTGGATGGTGAGAGTCATGACTGACTCAATGGACATGACTTTGAGCAAGCTCTGGGAATTGGTGATGGACAGGGAAGACTGGCGTGCTGCAGTCCATGGGGTTGCATCGAGTCAGCCACAACTGAATTGAACTGAAATCCTGAGCCTTTTGAAGACTCTGTGGTGCAAATCAGGCTGTTGGTTTTCTCTACCACTAGCTTAGTATTGCTTATCAAGGTGTATAAAGTCATTTTCCTTCCTTCCATCTATGCATCCTTCCTTTCTTCTTTCCTTCTTTCCATCCACCTTCCCCCTTACAAAATATTTAGCTGTTTTCTCCTCTCCTACGTTTTCATCCTTGTATGTTTGCTTTAAAAAACAAAGTCCTTTCACTTTAGTTTTAGAGGGATTTGGCGAGGGAGCATATGTTCATCTGCCACATTAAATGACGGCATAACATTTCCTAGTAAAGAAAATCATGAAACCATCCCTCTGCAAACTAACATTTACATTTTTTCAAAATTGTAGATACTGCAAACAATACTGAAATGACCATTTTCATGCATTTGCTTCTCCAGGATGGGTTCTTTGGGAATGCAAACTGATGACAAAAGGAGAATAATTCAGCAATGACAACCACAATCAGAAATGCACATGACTCAGGACTTTATAGACTGCATGCCTTTACATTCAGTTTAATGGACATTGCTAAACTGCCCTCCAGAATAGCTGTCAATTTACTTTCTCATTAACAGATCACTAAAGAGCCTGTTGCTCTATATCCCTGCCAACACTGGTTATATCAGTTTTTAAAAAATCATTGTCAAGCCAATAAACAAAAGAATATTTATTTCTTTTGATTATCAAAGGGATGTAACTGCTTTTCTTCTTTGCTGAATTTCTGTATTACTTCTATGATTATCTATTTATGGACTGTGTAGATTACAACAAACTGTGGGAAATTCTTCAAGAGATGAGAATACCAGATCACCTTACCTCCCCCCTGAGAAATCTGTAGGCAGGTCAACAAGCAACAGTTAGAACCGGACATGGAACAACAAACTGGTTCCAAATTGGGAAAGGAGTATGTCAAGGCTATATATCGTCACCCTGCTTATTTAACTTATATGTAGAGTACATCATGAGAAATGCTGGGCTGGATGAAACACAAGGTAGAATAAATATTGCTGAGAGAAATATCAATAACTTCAGATATGCACATGACACCACCCNTGGGAAAGATTGAGGGCAGGAGGAGAAAGAAACGACAGACGATGAGATGGTTGGATGGCATCACCGACTCAATGCACATTAGTTTGAGCAAGCTCTGGGAACTGGTAATAGACAGGGAAGCCTGCCCTGCTGCAGTCCATGGGGTCTCAAAGTTGGACATGACTGAGTGAGTGAACTGTACTGAACTGAACCTATTTTCCTACTAGATCCCAATGATTATGTTATCTTTATAAGGTCTTATATATTAATATTTTATATTAACCTTTTGTCTGTTAACAGATTGTTTTCCTCTAGTCTATCAGTCTTTTAAATGGGGCCTTTAGTAGTCCAGAAATTTTATATTTTTATGTTGTAGAATTCTTTACGTTGTAAAATTCTTTGTGATTTCAAGATGCTAAGAGTGTCTCACCCTCTCAAAAGATTATAAAAATGGTTCCCTGTATTTTCCTTTAGCTGAAATAAAGTATTCGTGTAGTGTTTTGCATGGTCTTCCACCCCAGCCCTCCACAATCCTTGAGAGTGAAACTAAAACTACTTAGGAGCCAACAGGGGCATTGTATAACCATGAATTTTTGGAGGCATATACTCTCCAGAAAAACAGAATTTCTAAAATCTCTGGGCATTTGACCTGTATCAAGAAAAGAGCGGTAAAAAAAAAAAAAAAAGAGGGGTAAGAAACAGATGGGTCATTTTGCAAAAATAACAATTTTATAACAAAATAGTTAAAAGAGCACTTACACAGTTGGTAACTCTCTGTTAGCTAATACTGATCTCTGGTTTCATAGAAGCTTGTTTACATTTCTTACCCTCCCTACTGGATTACCCTCAATCTTGTAAAGACAAGAATCTTATTCATCCTTGTATCTATTACACTGTCTACTAAATACTTTCAGCATAAAAGATTCTAGAATATTTGATTAAATGAAGTGTATTTTCTCTAAGGGCTCAGAAGGTAAAGAATCTGCCTACAATGCAGGTGATACGGGTTTGATCTCTGAGTTGGGAAGATCCCCTGGAGAAGGGAATGGCTACCCACACCAGTATTTTTGCCTGGAGAATCCTATGGACAGAGGAACCTGGAGGGCTGTAGTCTGGGGGTCACAGAGTCAGATACAACTGAGCGACTAACACTTTCACTTAACACTTTCACCTTGTAGAAATATATTTAAAACAAAACTACTTAAAAGATGACATACTTTATAATGAAGATTGTGAAAACAGTAATTACAGTAATAATAACAGTGTTAAGTATTTATTATATACCACCTGTATGCAGGTCAGGAAGCAACAGTTAGAACTGGACATGGAACAACAGACTGGTTCTAAATAGGAAAAGGAGCATTTCAAGGCTGTATATTGTCACCCTGCTTACTTAACTTATATGTAGAGCACATCATGAGAAACGCTGGGCTGGAAGAAGCACAAGCTGGAATCAAGATTGCCAGAAGAAATATCAATAACCTCAGATATGCAGATGACACCACCCTTATGGCAGAGAGTGAAGAGGAACTAAAAAGCCTTTTGATGAATGTGAAAGAGGANGACTCGATGGGCATGAGTTTGAGTAAACTCCGGGAGCTGGTGATGGACAGGGAGGCCTGGCGTCCTGCGATTCATGGGATCGCAAAGAGTCGGACACGACTGAGTGACTGAACTGAACTGAACTGAAATGCCAGACACTATGCTAAACCCTTTATATACATTCTCTCTATTAAGAACACAGACTGTACATGCATTTTTATCACATACAGTATTTTTTAAAATCTTCCAGTTGTTGGAGTGAAGAGTCATATTTTGCTCACTCCTATCACTGTCTTGACTTCTTTTCGAGAAAGTTTTTGCAGAAGGATCATTTCATAGTTTGATCTTAGCTTTCTCTTTACAATATCAGTATTTACAAAGTAATTTCTTTTAAGGCTTGGGCAGTAGAAAAGCAAGTTTCTATATATGTACCTCATGTAAACCCAATTCCAATTTCATCACCATTTCAGAAAGATGACGATTTTCTAATTTGAGTGATTCCAGCTGACCCAACATCTCCTGAGAAGGGAAAAGTAGAAAAAAAGAAATAAATGTGATGAATAAATCAAATGCATCTTAAAAAATTTTTCCACAAATTCCACAAAGTTTCCAAAAAACTTCACCTAATGAAAATTCCACAAATTTTCATTAGGTGAAGTTACATTCTTCATTCATATATACAAATACTTTCTAAAAAGTTTTTTGAAAAGGTGTTTCAACATGAATTTGTACACATGCAATTAAGAGTATTATTCTAAACAGATCAATCCAGGCACTGGTGACTCTCTGGGACTCCTCTTCCTGGCCTCTGCCTCCAGCATCTCATAATCTGCACTCCTTTCAAGGTAGTAGCTTATTCCTACTTGAAGATTCCTGCCTTCCTTGGCTTCCTACTTCTTTTGTGAGAACTATCTGGTTTTCTTCCTTATTGTCTCTTTCATTTTTAGCATCATTCTGGCACCTTTTTACCCTAAATGAATAGTTTCCTAAGTTGGGTTCAAGTCTCTCCTCTTCACACTCTATGCCTTCTCCTTATAATATCTAAGTCTCTTGGGGTTTCAAATGCCAACTTCATGTAAAGACTTCCACAGCTAAATGTCTTACCTTGATTTTAGTCTTGCACTCCAGGCCTTCTGTGGAACTATTAGATATTTCCATATGAAAGTCCAGCTTTTATCTCAAACCAGTGTTCCATCTGCCAGCTTCCCCATTTCAGGGACCTTTCATACAAATTCATTATCCTCCCCAAACCTGCTCCTTATCTTTTCTGTATTTCATTAAAGAGCATCACTCTCTAATCAGTTGCCCAAGCCAGAATCCTAGTGACATCCTTCCCTAACTCTATCTAACTCACTCTCCCTATCCAGTCAAATACAAAGTCTACTCAATCTTAACAGGAAAGTATCTCCAGAATGAGTCCATTTCCCTGGGTCTCCCCTGCGCAGTGCTCAGGCCACCACTTCACTGCTGTGACAGCATCTGAGTGGTCTCTCTGCCTCCTTGCTTATTCTACATACAACCACAGAAACTTTTTACTCCTGTTTAACCCATTCTCTACTGACCCCAAGATAACATGAAAACTCCTGTACAGGGCAGGCAGGCCCTTTAGGAGCTAATCCCTGCTTTCCCACCTCATCCCTCACACACTTGTCCCACCTGCCACAGTGAACAGGGTAACCTTCACCACTCACCACAGAAATAGTCTTTTCACTTGTCTGAACTACTCTTAACTCCTGCCAATCTTCACTAGACTACTTGTTAACCAGCCTAAAGAAGAGGATTCATAACAATTTACTGAATTAAACACTATGGAAATTATACCTTTAATAAAATGAACCTTCAAAAACAAACTTCAAATAAAGAAAATTTTTGTTCAAGTTTCACCTTATGCTCTACTGCTTTTGCTTCTGCCTTTTGTAGCTCCACTTTGAGTCGCTTTTCCATGTCAGAGGAAGAACTTTTGGTGGAAGCAATAGTGATATCTCGCTGATGTAACTCTCGAGTTAGCTGGGAGATCTCCATCTTCATTCCTTCTAGTACAGAACTGTAACTCTGTTCAGCCTGTAAAATCTGTTCTTTCAACTGCAAAAAATAGAAAGCATTAAAAATTGAGAGAAGACATGTTAGATAGAAAAATATAATATTAATAATAGAGTGATTTTTACCTTGCCTCAAGTCATAAATTTTTCCCTAATTAAATCTGCAAAAAATTAGCAATTTACAAAGCTGCGTATCTGTACTGAAGGTCAAGTGGTTATACCCACAATTATTTATTAGATCTCAAAACAGGGAGAGATGGCTGACTCAAATGCTGAGAACCAGCATCAGAGAGCTGAAGCACACATTGTTTGGAGGACAGCATTTGTTACCTTCACTCTTTTTTTAGTTGCAAATCTAAAATTTTTGCTTATATGGTTTCCTGGTCCACAGAAGATAACAGAAAGAGAAGAAAAAAGGGGGCTAGAAGTAATCTCAAAGAAGTAATAAAAAGAAATGACTCAACAAATAGGACAGCCAGGGCCCACTAACACAGAGACAAATTCCACAAACTTCAAATGCCAATGAGGATATAACTACCCACAGCACAGAAGAGAATACACATCCATCACCACCTTCAGTCAGTAAGAAAATACTAAATGCCACCTCAATTAATACGTTCATGTGTTCATGCAAGCAAGAAGGTGTTTATCTTTTAGAAAATTTTTCATCAAGACACATTTAAAATAAAGTTGTAGAGTTCAAAGGGGGCAGGCTTCAATTATCTTGAAAATACTTAAATGGCATCCCTGAGGACGACACAGAAAGATATTCTCCTAAGCACATTACAGGCACTCTACTCACGAGCATCAAATGGCCTCTGGATGACATTTTTCTCACTAAAATTAACTCCTATAACCTCCCAACCCACTGCTCAGTCTACAAACACAGCAGGGTCTGCCACTCTCACCTGCTTGATCTCAGCCCTGTACTCATTGTTGTGCGCTTCCATCTTCTTTAGCTCTCCATATTTTTCCATAAGCTCTTGACTCAGCTGTTTACATGTTGCACTCACAGATTCTAAGCTACATGACAAAAATAAGGTCACATATTTAAAACAAAACAAAATCCTGAAGCCCATAAGTTGAGTTATCTAACTACCCTCTTAATGTCCAGGAAACAAACATCACTTTCTAACCCAAAATAAAACTCATTTCCAATTTCCATATCAGTGGAGTCAGAGAAGTCCATCCCAATCCAAACTTTTGGGGAGATACTTTTGACTTCTGTGTTCACCTATATACCTTTTATCTGCTTAAAACATTACTGGTTACAAAATTCTAAATGTTATAACAATGTAGGCAGTTTTTTCTCTCTAGTTGTACATGACCTGCTATCATAATGTCAGTCTTCACCAAGCTTAATTACAATCCCATCCTACACACAGCTGCCAAAATAATCATGAGTTTCCAACTTGTCACCCTTACTTATCCCTCTTCAGAAATAAGAACCTCAGGGACACCATGCCTCTCCTATCTCATAGCTCATATCCACTATAAAGTCTTTTTGCTTCTAAATTGCTAGGCTTTACAGTCTGCCATGTGCCATGTGCTAAGCCTGACTTCTTTTCTTTTCACATACCACCCCCTTGACCACACAGCACCTCCCCCTACCACCTGACAATGGACAGTCAACACCCTTTCAAGAATCAAATCAGCATTTACCTGGGAAGAGCCACCCTGACCCTCATTCCCCTAAATCATCTTAAAAACAGTCTGCTTTCAATTATTAAGAGTTTTAAGGTAGACACTTTCTAGAACTTTCACTTTAAATTGCTATTAGGTCTTTTAATGTACATATTCTGTCTCTCAAACTACAAATTCTATAATTAAAATAATATCTTTTACTTCTCACTTCCCTTTAACCTTGTCCACCATACCCTCGGGCCCTTCATCATTCGGTTCCAGACTGTTCAATAAAGGTTTAATAACTGTTAGATTGTTCCCCCACACAACCAATTTATCAGATAAGCTATCGTTCAAAATATCACCTTGGCAATACAACAATACAAAACAATCATGTATATTCCTCCAGTTCCTGTTTCAGGGAGTATTCTGTTCAAACTGAACACTACAAATAAGCTGTCTAAAAGAGTTCCTTTTTTTTACTAGTCTTTTGATATAGAAAAATAATTTTTAAAGCCATTCAGTTTTATTACTGAACAGGGGTATTTGTATCCATTTATTCCAACTTTATTTCTAAAAATCCTAGAATGCTTATTATGTGGTACTTAGTATATGACTATAATATGTCAAATAAAACACCGAGGTAGAGAGAAGAAAAATCAGAAATAATCTTGTCCTATCTAAAGATGGGAAAATTGAGGACTAAAGAGAATAAGGTGTTCCAGGTTGGCAATGTGTCACAAGCAAGACACAAGTCCTCAGAGTCTGCGGAAAGCATAGAAAAAAACATGTAAAAGATCACTAAAAAGTTAATCAATGGAAAATCTATGATAGAAAATGTAAATATTAACTCTAATACCAGTAACAATTTGTTGTTGTTGTTTAGCTGCTAAGTTGTGTCCACCTCTTTTGTGATCCCATGGATCCCCACCAGGCTCCTCTGTCCGTGGGATTTCCCAGGCAAGAATTCTAGAGTGTGTTGCCATACTTTCTGCAGGGGATCTTCCCAACTCAAGGACCTAACCTGTGTCTCCTTCTTTGGCACAGATGGATTCTTCACCTGCTGAGCCACCAGGGAAGCCACATCAGTAAGAACGTGCTGTGCTGTGCTTAGTCGTGTCCAACTCTCTGCGACCCCAGGGCTTGTAGCCCACCAGGCTCCTCTGTCCATGGGGATTCTCCAGGCAAGGATACTTGAGTGGGCTGCCAAGCCCTCCTCCAGGGGATCTTCCCAACCCAGGGATTGAACCCAGGTCTGCCGCATGGCAGGCGGGTTCTCTACCATCTGAGCCACCAGGGAAGCCCGTCAATAAGAATACTAAACTTTACTTCATGCAATCTACAGTGTGCACATAAACTTCAGTAATGAGAATTAGAATATCTTAAGTACTTCAAGGTGAGAAATAAAAACTCTGTGGATGCATGTATATCTACTATGCAAAGAAAATATTTAATGGCTTCCAAAAACAGAAATAAAAGATATATTAGAGTAGGGACAAAAATTTGTTACTTAAAAAGGCAAAATGGAAAATTTGTGGTTGTTTTTTCCCTGCAGGATAACAGTTTATATATTTGTATCTTCTACATGCAGAAAACTATTAGAGTACAAATGACTGTGATTTATGTTTAAAATAAAATATCAAACTGCTCCCAATCAAAAAGTTCTGCAGTGTGACCAAAAAAAAAAGTTCACCATATGGTAATACAAGTGAGCTGGGCATAGGACAGCATAAATAAGGATTCAATCAACACACAAGGACATATCAACAGCATTTCAGAACAGAAGGAGCACCACATGTCCAACGAGACCTCCCCAAGAGAAGCTCCAGTGATGTGGCTGGTAGAGGGGAAAGCCAGTCTAACTGAAGACCTTCTGCATGGGAGAAATGTGAAGACATACAGAGAGTCAATATAGACACCTCTTGAAGAACTGGGTTTTTAAGAAGAGCAGAGAAATATGGAAGTAACTTGACAGGGATGTAGAATTAAAGGAAGGTTTTCATCTTTTTCCCAAGATGAGGAATAGTAAAACATATTTTATACCAGGGGAAATGATTTAGCAGAGATTAGGAATTGACAATATATAAAAGAAAAGAAAAAACTGTAGAAACTATACATAAGTGGAATCTTAGAAGCACAGACATGTCATCCATTGATTCATCTACTCTAACAGATTAAGGGCACAGACAGGTACAGGCTGACTGGTAGGTTTGGTGGTAAAAAGATTAGGAAGTTCTCCTTTAATTGAGATCAAAGTTCTCCTTTAATCTCAATGAAATCAGAAGTTAGGCCATTTGTGAAAGCTAGAGGAAAAAACAGGTTTTCATTTGTTATATTAGCTTACTTTATCAATACAATGATTGAAATAGTTTCTAACAATTTGAACATTGCTGAAATGCATGTAATTATCTACCTGCCTTCCAGACGCGTCACCTCTGCCTGAAGAAGCTCTTCACTAGTGTGGGTAAAATCCAGTTGGCAGAGCACGTTCTGTAAGTCCCCATGCCCTTGAGAGGCATACCTCCTTTCTGCCAGAGGTTCCTCCAGTGATCTACAGGAAGACACAGGAGGACTGTTAAAGGCCTGTATCTTTGCAAACAAAAACAACACAGAGGCAGTTTCATATTTCCCCAACTCTTTTTAGTAATGAAACTCTTCAGAATTCTTTAGTCTGTTTCCTCGTTTACCAAAAAAAAAAAAAAAAAAAAAAAAAAAANAAAAAAAAAAAAAAAAAGTTAGCTGACTGTATAGACCTCCTTCATCTTTGGCTGCAAAATATATAATCAATCTGATTTTGGTATTGACCATCTAGTGATGCCTATGTGTAGAGTCTTCTCTCATGTTGTTGGAAGAGGGTGTTTGCTATGACCAGTGCGTTCTCTTGGCAAAACTCTGTTAGCCTTTGACCTGCTTCTTTTTGTACTCCAAGGCCAAATTTGCCTGTTACTCCAGGTGTTTCTTGACATCCTACTTTTGCATTCCAATCCCCTATAATGAAAAGGACATCTTTTTGGGGTGTTACTTCTAGAAGGTCTTGTAGGTCTTCACAGAACCATTCAGCTTCTTCAGCATTACTGGTCAGGGCATTGACTTGGATTACTGTGATATTGAATGGTTTGCCTTGGAAACGAACAGAGATCATTCTATTGTTTTTGAAATTGCATCCAAGTACTGCATTTCAGACTCTTTCGTTAACATGATGGCTACTCCATTTCTTCTAAGGAATTCTCGTCCACAGTAGTAGATATAATGGTCATCTGAGTTAAATTCACCCATTCCAGTCTATTTTAGTTCACTGATTCCTGAAATGTCGATGTTCACTCTTGCTATCTCCTGTTTGATCACTTCAAATGTGCCTTGATTCATGAACTAAACATTCCAGGTTCCTATGCAGTATTGCTCTTTACAGTATCGAACTTTATTTCCATCACCAGTCACATCCACAACTGGGTCCTGTTTTTGCTTTGGTTCCCTCTCTTCGTTCTTTCTAGAGTTATTTCTCCAATGATCTCTAGTAGCATGTTGGACACCTACCGACCTGGGGAGTTCATCTTTCAATGTCCTATCTTTTTGCCTTTTCATACTGTTCATGGGGTTCTCAAGGGAAGAATACTGAAGTGGTTTGCCATTCCCTTCTCCAGTGGACCAAGTTTTGTCAGAACTCTCCATCATGACCCGTCTGTCTTGGTGGCCCTACATGGCATGGCTCATAGTTTCATTGAGTTAGACGAGGTTGTGGTCCATGTGATCAGTTTGGTTAGTTTTCTGTGATTGTGGTTTCCAGTCTGCCCTCTGATGGATAAGAATAAGAGGCTTCTGGAAGCTTCCTGATGGGAGAGACTGACTGAGGGGGAAACTGGATCTTGTTCTGATGGGCGGGGCAGTGTTCAGTAAATCTTTAATCCAATTTTCTGTTGATATGGGTTGGCCCTCCCCCCCCACCACCACCCTGTGTTTCCTCCCCTGTGGAGGTAATGAAGATACTTGAGACCTCCTTCAAAAGGTTCCATGCACGCACCGCACTCAGTGCCTCTGACCCTGCAGCAGGCCATCGCCGACCCATGCCTCTGCCGGAGACTCCTGGACACTCACAGGCAAGTCTGGGTCAGTCTCTTGTGGGGTCACTGCTCCTTTCTTCTGGGTCCTGGTGCACACAAGGTTTCGTTTGTGCCCTCCAAGAGTCTGTTTCTCCAGCCCTGTGTAAGTTCTGGCTGCTCTATGGTGGGGTTAATGGTGACCTCCTCCAAGAGGGTTTATGCCATACCCAGGTCTACTGCACCCAGAGCCCCTGCCTCTGCAGCAGGCCACTGCTGACCCATACCTCTGCAGGAGACACTCAAACACAGTTCTGCCTCAGTCTCTGTGGGATCTCTGGGTCCCAGCGGCACAAGGTTTGTTTGAGCCCTCCGAGCATCTCTAGCTGGTATGGGGTTTGATTCCAAACGTGATTGTGCCCTCCTACTATCTTGCTAGGGCTTCTCCTTTGCCCTTGGACGTGGGGTATCTTTTTGGTGGGAGTCAGCATTCTTCTACTGATGCTTGTTCAGCAGCAAGTTGTAATTTTTGAGTTCTCGCAGAATATGAACTCATGTCCTTACCAGCTACTAATCATGATCTATTTTACCAAAGTAGGTAGGCCTCCCAGGAGACATGAAACTATAACTCCTTTCACGTTTGGAGTTTCAGCAAGGGTACAAATTAACAGGAGACAGAGAGAAAATAGTCGCTAAGTCATGTCTGACTCTTTGCAACCCCATGGACTGTAGCCTGCCAGGCTCCTCTGTCCATGGGATCATCCTGGCAAAAATAATGGCGTGGGTTGTCATTTCCTCCTCCAGAGGATCTTCCCAACCCAGGGGGTTGAACCCACGTCTCCTACATTGGTAGGTGGATTCTTTACCACTGCACCACCTGGGAAGCCCATACAGATTGACAAAAGGGTTTCTAACTTTCTAAACATCAGAGTTTCTTGGTTAGGAGACCCAAACTGAAGGTAGAAAAAAATAACCATACAATATTATCTAATACCCTAAAAATTTAAATCAGAAATCAAAATAAAGAAAACTTATAATATGATCAAGCACAAAATTATGAATATGTAATAATTAAAAACCATGTTTAATGCCAAACTACCCTGTGGCTAAGACTAATAATATTTAAGGTTATACCTTATGGTCTCTACTGTGTGTTGAGTGTCAACTGCCTTTAATTTTGCTTGTAGCTTCTCCTTTTGTATTCTTGCATCATGGATAAAATTTTCTTGAGTCTGAAGAGCTGCCTTCAATTCTCTCTTTTCTTCTTGCAGAACCTGTAAAAATACTCAGAAAAAAAGTCAGTTTTTCTATTTCATGAGAAAAGGAAGCCAGGCAGTCAAACTGTAAATTATACAACAGATACAATATTAATAGGCTCATTATTAATATCTGATCCTGTTATTTTGCAGATGGTGATTGCAACCATGAAATTAAAAGATGCTTACTCCTTGGAAGGAAAGTTATAACCAACCTAGATAGCATATTAAAAAGCAGAGACATCACTTTGTCAACAAAGGTCCATCTAGTCAAGGCTATGGTTTTCCAGTGGTCATGTATGGATGTGAGAGTTGGACTGTGAAGAAAGCTGAGCACCAAAGAATTGATGCTTTTGAACTGTGGTGTTGGAGAAGACTCTTGAGAGTCCCTTGGACTGCAAGGAGATCCAACCAGTCCATCCTAAAGGAGATCAGTCCTGGGTGTTCATTGGAAGGACTGATGTTGAAGCTGAAACTCCAATACTTTGGCCACCTGATGCGAAGAGCTGACTCATTTGAAAAGACCCTGATGCTGGGAAAGATTGAGGGCAGGAGGAGAAGGGGATGACAGAGGATGAGATGGTTGGATGGCATCACCGACTCAATGGACGTGGATTGGGTGGACTCCAGGAGTTGGTGGTGGATAGGGAGGCCTGGTGTGCTGCGGTTCATGGGGTCGCAAAGAGTTGGACACGACTGAGCGACTGACTAAGCAGAACTGATCCTGTTATTAATATCAATATCTGATCCATTGGCTACAGAGTAGGTAAGAAACTGCAGACTTTGGAACCTAGTTCTAGGTTAATTAGTCTCTCTTAAAACATACATGCACATATTTCCTCAGTTATAGTATATAACAATTTAAAAATATACCTCTAGCAGTTTTTCAGATTCCCTCAATTTTTCTTCTTTCTGTCGCTGCTCTTGCATAATAGTCATGTTGGTTCCAACCAAGTCATTGACTCTCATGGTGAGGCGCTCTATTTCCAACTCATTGGCACAGATAGTATCATTGGCCCGCTCCAGTTTACTGCTCAGGTGCTGAATTTCCGACTGGCTGGACAGTTCCACAGACTCTAATTTTTGTTTCCGATTGGCAAGCTGAGCCTAAAAACACACAAATTACCAATTGGTAAAAGTAAAAGAATAATCAATGAACAAGGAAGACTAAAATGAAACTAACTTTTACCTCCATAAAAACATATAGTAATAGATCATTAAAAATATATAATTCATTCATCAGTCCAGTCAAAAAATGAACAAAAATTTAAGCAGACATTTCTCCAAAGAAGACATACAGATGGCCAATAAACACATGAAAAGATGCTCACATCACTCATTATTAGAGAAATACAAATCAAAACTACAATGAGGTATCATCTCATACCAATCAGAATGGTCATCAGCAAAAAAACTACAAACAATAAATGCTAGACAGGATGTAGAGAAAATAGAACCCTGCTGCACTGTTGGTGGGAATGTAAACTGGTACTGAAACTACAGTATGGAGATTCATAACAAACTAGGAATAAAACCACCATGTGGTGGTGATTTAGTTGCTAAGTCATGTCGGGCTCTTCTGACCCCATGGACTGTAGCCCTCCAAGCTCCTTTGTCCATGAGATTTCCCAGGCAAGACTATTAGACTGGGTTGCCATTTTCTTCAGGCAATATTCCCAATCCAGGGATTGAACCCATGTCCCTTGCGTAGAAGGGGGTCTCCTGAATTGCAGGCAGATTATCACTTACCCACTAGGGAAGCCCCCACACTACCATATGACCCAGCAATCCCACTACTGGGCATATACCCTGAGAAAGCCACAATTCAAAATGACACATGTACCCCAATGTTCATCACAGCACTATTTACAATAGCCAGGACATGGAAGCAACCTAAATGTCCATCAACAAATGAATAGATAAAGAAGTTGTGGTATAATGGAATACACTCAGTCATAAAAAAGAATAAATTTGAGTCAGTTGTAGTGAGGTAGATGAACCTAGAGCCTCTTATATAGAGTGAAGTAAGTCAGAAAGAAAAAAACAAGTATTATATATTAACACAGATATATGGAATCTAGAAAAATGGTACTGATGAACCTAGTAGAGAAGTGACTTGACACAGTGGGGGAAGGTGAGAGTGAGATGAATTGAGCAAGTACCACTGACATACATACACTAACATGTGTAAAATAGATAGTCAGTGGAAATTTGCTCTCTAATACAGGGAGCCCAGTCTGGTGCTCTGTGATGGCCTAGAGGGGTGAGATGGGGGGAGGGGAGGAAGGCTCAGTGCAGAGGGATATAGATAAAATAATGACTGATGCACACTGTTGTATGGCAGAAACTGATACAACATTGTAAAGCAATTTTCACCAATTAAAAAAAAATTTATAAAGCTAGAAATAAAAATAAAGTAGTTGTGGCACATATATAAAATGGAATATTACTCAGCCATAAAAAGGAATGAATTTGAGTAGTTTTAGTGAGGTGGATGAACCTAGAGCCTATTATACGAGTGAAGTAAGCCAGAAAGAGAAAAACAAATATCATATATTAATGCATATATGTGGAATCTACAAAAATAGTACTGATGAACCTATTTACAGAGAAATGGAAATGCAGATGTAAAGAACAAACTGGCAGACATGGCATGGGAAGGAGAGGGTAGGACAGACTGAGAAAGCAGCAGTGACATACATACACTATCATGTGTAAAACAGGTAACTTTCCTAGCGGGAAGCTGCTGTATAACACAGGGAGCCCAGTCTGGCATTTTATGACAGCTTAGAGGGGTGGAGTGAGGAAGGTAGGGAGGCTCAAGAGAGAGGTGATACATATATAATTATGACTGATTCACACTGATGTACTACAGAGACCACCACAACATTGTAAAGCAATTGTTCTCCAATTAAAAAATAATATACATACATATATATGTGTATATATAATATTCATGATAGAAAAAAAACCTCCGTGATAAAAACTAGGAATAGAGAGGAACTTTCTCAACTTGACAAAGACTTTCTACAGAAACCATACAGCTAACATTACACTTAATGTTGGGAAACTTGATACTTTCCCACAAAGATCAGATATAAGGCAACGATCTAGCCTCACGACACTCCTTTTCAACATCACAGTGGATGTCCTAGTTAATGCAGTAAGGCAAGAAAAGGAAATAAAAGGTATACAGATCAGGAAAGAAGTCATATAACTACCTTTATCCACAGATGATGTGATCATCTATGTAGAACATCTGAAAGAATCAACCAAAAAAAAAAAACAATCCCCTTGAGTTAATAAGTAACTATAGCAAGGTTGCAAGATATAAGGTTAGTATATAAAAGTCAACCATTTTCCTATATGCCAAAAGTAAACATGTGGAATTTAAATTAAAAACAAAACACAGGACTTTCCCAGTAGTCCAGTGGCTAAGAATCTGCCTTGCAATGCAGAGGACACAGGTTCAATCCCTGGTCAGGCAGCTAAGATCCCACATGCCTTGGAGCAACTAAGCCCACGCACCACAACTACGGGGACCAGTGTGATGCTGCAACTAAGACCTACTGCAGCCAAATGAATAAAACGAAAATTAAAAAACAAAAACCACAGCACTATTTATATTAACACCTAAAGAAATTACTTAAGTATAAATCTAATAAAATATGTACAAGATCTATCAGAGAAGAACTACAGAACTCTGATGAACGATATCAAAGAATAAATGGAGATATTCCATGTTCGTGAAAAGAAAGAATCAATACTGTCAAAGTGTCAGTTCTTCACAATATTATCTATGAATTCAATATGACCCCAATCAAAATATCAGCAGGTTATCAATATTTTGTGAGTATCAACAAAACTGACTCTAAAGTTCACAGGGAGAGGCAAAGAGTCAGAATAGTCAATACAATATCAAAAGAGAAGAACAAAGTTGGCTGACTGGTGTTACCTAATTTCAAGATTTACTATAAAGCTATAGTAATCAACAGTGTAGTATCAGCAAGAGAATAGACAGATAAATTAAGGGAACAGAATTCAGAGCCCAGAAATTGACCCTTATAGTCAACTGATCTTTGATAAAAGAGCAAAAGTAATAAGATGGAGTAAAAACAGTCTCTTCAACAAATGGTGCTAGAATAACTGGACATCTATATGTAAAAAAAAAAAAAGAAAAATGACATGTCTGACAAAGGCTTTACACTCTCCACAAAAATTAATTAAAATGGATCATAGACCTAAATGTAAAATGCAAAACTTACAAAACTCTTGGAAGATAATATAGGAGAAAGTGTAGCTAACTTTGGGTATAGTGGTACCTTTGTAAATACAAAGTAAAGTAAAGTAAGTAAAGTAAGTAAAACTTCCCTTATTCTAAATATTTTTAAAAGGTAAAGCACACAATTTTATTTTAGAAATTTAAGTGACAATGTCTCTGGGAAATCTATCTGCTGTGGATTTAAAGATTTTATTGTATATAGTACAGGGCCAAAATCCTACTATGGTCACATGAAGTAGATGCTCAATGATGCCCATAAGCCAGAGAGAGGGCGGGAAGAGAAAGGCAAAGAGGCAGAAAAAACAGTGTTCATATAAATTACAGACCAAGATTCCAGCATAAAGAATCAAAAACTTTTTACCAGATTCCTACAATAGTGTGAAAAAAAGAACATCAAATAGGTTTAGATGCACAGAAATAACTGCCAGGATACAATAGCCTCCAAATTTTTAAAATACCACATAAACTACCCACCTCAACAAGGGGAAACCTTACACAGAATTCTGAACAGAATAAAACACTGAAAATATTGGATGACAGTGGTAAGAGAAAGAGCCCAGCTTACTGAACCTCCCAACCCTACTTTAAATTGCACAGGAGCCCTGGGGCTTGGCAGAACACAGCTAGAAAACCACTGCTCAACTGGATGCTCAGGATGAAAGACAGTACATGATTGCAAAATATTAGCATTGTCTTTTTAACATTGTAATAGCTATTTAACATTCAGTTCAAATCTGTGATCTTAAAGTAAACTGGTGTTGAAATTAATAGTTTAACTAAGTTATAGTTTAACCAGCGAGTCTAGATTTGACACATAAAAACTAACCAATCTTAGTTCTACAGTATCAAAAATACAGCCTTTTTTCCCTTTTTTTTACATTGAAGTACAGATGACATACAGTATGTTAGTTTCAGGTGTAAAACACTGTGATTCAACACATATACATTATTACTGATCACCATGACAAGCCTAATAGCCATCTGTCACTATACAAAGCCATTACAATATTATAAACTATATTTCCTAAGCTGCACATCACATTCCATGACTTAACTATTTCATAACTAGAAATTTAAATTAATTTCTTTCACCTATTTTGCTCAACTCCCCTCATCCTCTCCTCCATGACAACTACCAGTTTGTTCTCTGGATCTATGAGTCTGTTTCTGCTTTGTTTCATCTCTTAGATTCCACATGTAAGTGAAGTCATATGGAATTTGTTTTTCTCTGTCTTATTTCACTTAGCAAAATATCCTCCAGGGACATCCACATGCTGCAAATGGTAAAATTTTATTCTTTTTTATGACTCATATACCACATTTTCTTTATCCATTCATCTATAAATGGGCACTTGGGTTGCCTCTGTATCTTTATTACTGTGAATAATGATGCAAAGAACATAGAGGTGCACATATCCTTTTGAATTAGTCTTTTTTTGGAAAAATTGGCCGGAATTGTTAGATCATATGGTAGTTCCTTTTTTAATTTTTAAGGAAACTCTATGCTGTGCTCCCAATTTATATTCCCACCAACATTGCATGGGGGCTTCCCAGATGGCATGATAAAGAATCTGCCTGCCAATGCAAGAGACACAAGAGACCTGGGTTCAATTCCTGGGTCAGGAAGATCTCCCCAAGTAGGAAATGGCAACCCACTCCAGTATTGTTGCCTGGAAAATTCCACAGACAGAGGAGCCTGGTGGGCTACAATCCATGGGGTTGCAACAGTTGGACATGACAGAGTACACACACACAACAGTGCATGAGGGTTCCCCTCTCTCTTCCTCAACACTTATTTGTTACCTTGGATAATAGGCATTCTGACAGGTTTGAGATGGTATCTCACTG